AAGACGACCCAACTAAATGAACTTATTATCTCCATAATACGATCCACATTATATTAGTTATTGCACGAGAGTCGAGGACACAACTTCTTCAATAAAATGCGTTCATCAATTACTATCAAACTAGATTATTGACATATTTTATAAATTCTTACCAACCAATTTTCAATCTCATGCTCACTCTTTATTCCCCAACACTCATTCCCACATACCAAACGGCAAACGCTCCAATAGAAATAGTTCATTTGGAGAATTTATTAAAAGGCTATTGTGCATAATCTTCCACTAGAGAAGAAGATTAGAAGAATTCTATAGTAGGACAACTCTAGACTTAGGGACTTGGATGCCTATAAATAGGTCATCCCACTCATTTGTATAACCAACCAACAAAGTACATTTTACTGTCTTTCAAACAATTCAAACGTTCTTAGAATACCATACTTGCATAATTACCTTCTTACTTGGGAGAATAGTAAGCATGTGACAACACTGTTGAGACGATGCACAGGCTAAGGAAGTGTTTAAAGCATATATGATGATCACCAAAATTGTTATATCATTATCTCAATTTCATCATATATGAGTAATATGACAATTATATCGTTGGATTCATAACCCAAATTACTTAGCATAACTGGAGATCAAAATCCAGCTTTGGATTACTATGATATAGTCCAATACTTAAACCGCATGACCATATAAACTAGATCTGTCATCTTGAAAAGTAATGTGCTTATAGTAATTCTAGCAATACATTAAGATAACTTGATTAACATATATTCGTTATTTATCTTATACAATTGTTAGTATTCACTTTGATGGTTTACACTTGTCAATATAAAAATTTGATTGACCGTCGTTACTATTAATTATCTAATATTAAAAATTATGAAAAGAAACTAATAATTAAAAAATATACATTAAAATAAATTAAGTACCATCTTACCTACAAATATATTAGGAAAAAAAAAGTGAATTTCGAATTTCATGCCGAAAAAAGAGGAGGCCGCTCGGTAAGGGGGTCGGGCCTAGTGCAAACTGGCGGGATTATCTAAACCTTTCTCAGGAGGAGGGTGTCACCCCTGAGGCAGTGAGCTTTCTCGGGATGAGACATGTGCTTTTACAGGGGACGCCCCTTCAAGGGAACCTGGCCCTACAACAGTATCGAGAATTTTGGATCTGAATACTCCTTTAGTTCCTTGAGTAACCGACCCAGATAGACTTCCCAATCATGGCTCTTTGATCGATGGAATGTTTGTTGTCAGCATCTAAAACTGGACCAATGAGGGTAAAAGTGAGATTTTTAAATCATACGTATAAAAGGTAAAAGTAATACATGGATTTGAAATGAATTATAACCTATTTCTATTTCGTTCCATTAACCTTTTTAATTTTTTAATACTAGTTATTTCAAGAAATGTCTCATCATTATGTGTTTGTATTGTTGATACGTTTTGAAAAGTTAGGTAAATGCAATGATACTTGTGTTTTTTCCAGGCAAAAGTTGAATATGCATATCAATTGAAATATTAAATCATGTGTTAGCAAAATGCATGTAATATTAACCGAATTAAATTCGATTTCTTCATAATATTAAGCGACTATTCCTAGATATAAATTTATATTTTGATATTATATTGATGAGTGTGATTTTTATTAAATTGATGAGTGTGATTTTTATTAAATTGATGAGTGTGCTAACTCGTTTTAGCCCAACTACTACGTATATTTGTTTCCAACCCAACTCATCTCAACCAGATACAAGTATCCCCACTTTAATTACAACCCGCCTTGATATATAATTCAGCTTGATTTGAAAACGAAAAAAAAAAAATAACAAAGTCGGACAAAATCGGCAACCCAAATCAACCTGCCAGCAAAATAAACCAGTTACAACCAACCCGAAACCAAACCATGAACCCGAATTAACAGTGCTAATTATATTGGCCTATCCTTAGATAGACTAGATCTGTACACCTTTCCACTTTAAAATACTATCTCGATAGCATCTGTGTTCAGCTGCTCATAGACATGACCTGTAATAGATGGTGCTGGTAAGCTTTCACCTCCAAATCATGAACCAAGGAGTAAGATAGAATTTCAGGCTAAGCTCGTACTTGAGCCAAGACTTAGCCAATCCATTGAGGCTAATTATGATGATCAATTCAGCAAAAAGTCATTGTACAAGGGTTGATTGGACTGTAGTTGCAATGAGTAGAATACGAAGCCAGTGAAGCTGCATGCAATGCGGGAATAATGTTGCAGGATTGATAAACTGTTTTAAGCATCCCCGATGCAGGTGGTTTCTCACACTACAATACCGGCCATACAGATAATGAATTTGGCATATAGACTAATGGACACATCAAAGTTAATATCAAGTTGATAAAGAAAACAATGTTAACACCAACTAATCAACAATATAACAAATTATCTTAACTCATGGTTCTCATGGTGCTGACACTCACCATGCTTGTGTTTTTATTAAAACAATAAAGCAGCAACAGTGCTCTATCACAGAAGTAACCCACTGGTGGCTTCTGCTGCTGATCAAAATAATCATTCAGTTTGGAGTTAAATTCTTAATTTGCTTCAATTTATAATGAAGTAAACATAGGTTATATAATACTTATGCTTAAGGATGTTGTAATGGTATAGGTTAAACTAATCAATTTACCAGTTGTGCAACTGTGCCCATAAAACCTTAGCTGTTAGCGTAAAAATGAAGTGTACTTCATTCTCATCATCACTGTAGTCCTTATGAAATTGTAAAAGGTTAATTGATTCTGGCTATTAGCGGTTATGGAAGCCACAAGCTTTCAGTTGTGATGGCAGATGGAGGTAGAAGCTGCAGACCTGCAGTGCCACAGAATTGCAAGTGAGACTGTGAGAGGGACTGAGGAAGAGCAAGAGCAAGAGACAAGAGAGAGAGAAAAGGTTGGGAATTTTTTCATTGTTAGTGGTAGCCTGTGGTGGTGATAGTTTCTTATGATCCTCAGCAACAATCGACAACACTCCCAAGTGTTTTGAAATTTGTACCAATTTGAATTGGATTTCTAACAATACGTGTTCATGCTGTATATCCGAACTCTGAACTAGTGAACTACTCAGGCACTGTTATTCCTTGGCTGATAGGCAATGCACATCAAGCAACCCTAAAGTATCCAGTATCCAACCTAATGACTCAAATCTCATCAGCATATATGGACATGCAGAGATCATGTTTAGGCATTCAGTACTATTTAAAGGCCATTACAGATAATCCCATGATGACAGCTGTTCTGTTACTAAAGGCTCAAACCTAAGACTCCTAAGACTGATAGAATTACAAAGTTCCTTTAAGTCAATGCAATAAACAGAAATATTTTCGGTAAGACAGACAAAACTAATTAAATGATTTGGAAAAAAAATCAACTTTTAAAGGGGTCAGTAAGCAGGATCTTGTTGGATACTGGATAGAATAAAAAAAACATAAGCCTGTAAGTTACAGCCTTTACATACAGAAAAACACCTGAATTTTCCCCAAAGAAACCAGAACATCCCATCAAAAACACCACATCACTCATAGGTAGTTTTCATCACAGCCCAAAACTTGGAAGCACAGAGATAAATGTGACTGACAATGATACCTTCAACCCTAATTATAGTCTGCAATAAGGAAAGAAATGGTAGATTGGAATTGCTGCTTGAAACTTTTCTTGTTTCCAATGATGCACACAATAATAGAAGCATATCAGTTGGCAGTAGCGCTATATATAGAGGCCCTATTGCTCATCCACTCAGATCCACTAAGCCACCATTGTTCAACCTCTTTATACCTCTCTTTTTGTAAGACCAAGAAAGACATTACATGCTACCAAGCTAGAAAATCAATCATGAAATCACCTGTTCTAACCAGCATACCCTGAAGTCAAGACAATATTGATCTAGTTCAACCTCTATGTCTCCATGATATAAGAATCAGCTTCATCAATTGCCTAGATTATATCCCATGCTTAAGTAGTTCTATGCCATACCAACAAACTATGACTACCAAGTCTTATCAAAACTTTCACACGGAATTTGCATACGACTAGCAGACTAAGAGTTAGTTATGGTTAAGCCATGAGGATTCTAAAGCATTAAAAGCACCATGATCTCCTAGGAGAGACTAAAACAAAAGAGAATTGTTAAGGTGATATGTTGCCCCAATATGTCAAACTTTAACCTCCTATCAAAGCAATGTGCATAAAGTAACCAGAATACATAATCCTTCATATAAATTATAATGTGCAAGATCGATCAATTGGTATGATCCATCTAACAAGATGTATTGTCAAGATCAATATCCTTAATTGACGGTACCAACCACCATCCATCGATGGGACTGTAACGCAAAACCTCACTAGTTTTATGCGATTGGGCCTTGTTATACTCCCTCCGTCCCATAATACTTGGAACGTTGGGGTGGACACGTAGTTTAAGAAAACTACAAGTGGATCCATTTAAAACATTTATTTATTGTATAAAAGATTCCCTTTTGTATTTTTATATTGCAAGAAAATAACAAGTGGAGTGAGAGTGGGGTAGGTGAGGAGTGAGAAAATGTGAGAAAATATTTTTTTATTAATGATCTCATTCCATATTTAATAATGTGTTGAGTGTTGTATGGTACCATCCAAAACTCAACTATAGTTACCATGTTACTAACACTACTGTCAATTATACAAAACATTTTCTATTAAACCATCAATCACGTACTTTTCTTACTTCCAAGCTATGTTACTCGGTCTCTTCATTTAACTTCAAATACCCATGTCGGACCCTCGACACTCGAATACTTCATTTTAGTTCAAAATTATGTAAATTTGTCAGAAACTAGCTAGTATGGACACGTACCCGAGTTGGACATAGGTACCCGAGTTTTGAGTAACATAGCTTCCAAGTTCCAACATTTATCATAAAACCAAACAAATCAACAATTTCGTGACAATTACGGAAAGCAATTTCAATACCTAATCATATCCATACCTTTAGCCTCAATTTCACAAGAATTAGACAACCCCGAAACATTTATGTCTTAGTTTCATCAATTGCAATACTAGCAGTGCTACAAAACAAGTCATACATTCACCGAATTCATAAATCTCTATATCAAGATAAAATCATTGAAATAAACTCAACGATCAAAATCTCACAATACCAATTCCTCAAAAGCAGCTACAAACATTTAGATCATGTACTAGTATTCAATTTAATTACGATCGCAAATAAGCAGGAATCTTAATGCGAATAAAAAGCATACTCATAATATACGCAATAACAACGGAAGTAATCCCAGCAGAAGCATACGAAACCCTAACACTGCGAGCCCGATTCTTGTCAACAGCAAGGTCCATGAGAATAATCCCAATTCCACCAAGAACAAACATGAACCCAGAAGATAACCCTTCGATAATGTACTGCCCGTTAACCCGACCCGGAAGAAAAACAACGGGTTTAACGGCCCCAGTGAATTGATCTTGGGTTGACCCAATACCAGGTGGTTCGACGATGACGTCATAGACGATGCCGGAGACGACCATGAAGTAAGTGAGGAGGATGAGAGAGAAAACGGTCATGGCTGAAGGAAGGGAGAATGATGGTAGTTTGAGGCGAAGGCGAGGGAGATGGAGGAAAGAGAAGGGGATGATTCGGAGGATGTGGAGGATTGGATCGAGTGAATCGATTGGATCTGAGGGTGAATTAGGGTTTGTGGATTGGTGAGTTAGGGTTTCTGATTTGATCGCCATTGTTGATGTTGATGAAGCTTTCTCTCTCCTACTGTGGAAGGTTGATGAGAGGCAAATGGGGGGAAGAGAAGGATGTGTTTGGGGGTTTTAGCTTTCTAACCTCAAAGTGAGGAACTTAGCATGAGTGAACAGTTTAATGAGCTTCTAATTACTCGTAGATTTTCGAGAAAAATCAAGCTAATAAGCCTTATTAGGGTGTCAATTTGGATGATCACATCGGGTTCGGTGAGGTCGGGTTAGATTGGGTTGGGTCAATTTTTAGAGTTGAGTCGTGCTAAATTATTGTGTCAACGCGAGTTAAAATCTTAATCGTATATTTTTTTCTGGTCGATTTCGGATCAGGTCGGGTCGGGTGTGATTTTGACACCCCTGAATTATATCAAGTTGGTAGATATATTAGACCATCTCTATTAGTAAGACTCAACTTTGAGTATTAAAATACAAAATAAGTTGTTTTTCACACCCAATAGTAATATCCAAGCCACTTCTCAATTTAGCAACTCATTTGATATATAATTTTCCAATGGTGAGACTCTCTTAAATATACTAATGTCATTTTCTAATATGCCCACTACATCCAATTAAATAAACAATTTTAAGTTTTTGTAAAAACATTAAAACTTAAATAAATTAATAAATTAATACTTCCTCCGTTCTACAAATATTGCAACAAGAATGAAATTACGCATCCCAAAGCACATTTTATATGTTAAATATCTATAAAAATATAAAAGTAAAAATTATAAAAAGTTGATATTGTGAAAGTATTTTACGAGACGAATCTAACAAGGCCCCACATGACTATATTTTATTTTACGTATAAATTATAATTTGTGGTCAAACAAGCATGATGAATAGTGCAAAATTCCATTTGTGGCAATATTATTAGAAAGGAGGAAGTATAAAATTAATAAGGGCCGGCTTTTTTTTTTTTTTTTCTTTTCAATTGAGACTCAAAGTTGAGTATCTAAAATTAGCAACTTTCTTTTTGAGTATCTAAGTTTAGATACCAACTTTATCCTTTACAAAAAAAATATATACTCTTTCTCTTCTAAAAAAAAACTCCAATGAGTTTCACCATTGGAGATAGTCTTAAGGGGCATGTTAGTCATTTCACATATAAAATTGGGGTAAATTTGTTATTTCGATCCTTTATTCCTCCATTTTCCTTCTCACCCATGACCATTCCACCTTCAAGATTCCACCTTCCTCCACACGAGCCATTCCTCCCCACAAGCCACCTAATTGAGATGGTGATGTTGCCGCGAAGGAGATGTTTTTTCCTAAGGAATTAGTATGGTCATACTTTACACTATTTGCTACTAGGGTGTCTCATTGTTCTGCTGCTTCGTGGGGCCATTGTTGTTGAGAAAGGAAGAAAAAGACGACAAAGATAGGAAGAAGAGGATAACGAGAAGAAGAGGACGGCGGGGAGCCAAAGAGGACGACCTTTGTGTGGTTGATCGGGAGGAAGACGAAGAGATGGTAGCGACTGTAATGGGTTTCACAGTGATGGTGGTGATGGCTGCTGTGTTATGGTGATGCAGTGATGGTGGAAGACGGATTTGTCTTATGTCCAATTTGACACTTATTATACATATAATGGGGAACTCCCTAGATTTTTAGGATGCGTTTTATTATGATAGAGTTTTAATCGAATTTATTAGAATTCGGATAAATTATTCATTTTGTTAGTAAATTGAATGTATCCTTTTATATTTTTTGGATCTATCCTATTTGTATCACTTGGCCTATACCAGAACTTGTATTACTCATCTCAATTACAACCCAACACGATTTTGACTCGACCTGATATGAATTAAATCCTCTTTAATGTAACTAAATCCTCTCTCAACCCAGCCCTTCTCAATCACAACCAAATATTACTTACCCAACTACAATCCATCCGAATTAGAAAATGTAAAAAAATAAAAATAAAAAAATAAATTGAAAAAAAAACACTAGGTAAAAGTGACTCGCAAACATAAACAAAAAATAAATTCCTAGAAGGTGGCTATTCTAGACCCTTGAACTGTTTTTGGGGTGTTTGACCTACGGGTCTTGGGTAGTTTGGGTGTTATTGCTAGTACAACTCTTTTTGTTAGTTGTACTCTCTATTTTGGTAATAAAATTCCTATTTACCAAAAAAAAAACTAAAAAAAAAATTGGTTTCAACCTAACTTGAAACCGAACCATCAACCCGATTGACAGTACTAGATTTTATGTTATTTGAGCTAATCTTCCTAGAAATAAGTGGAAATAAACAAAGTCAAACATTAGCATTGACAAGTGTGCTGATCAAATTATTGTGATTACTCCCAAAAATGAAAAAGACAAAAAGATATGGTGTCATTTAATTTGTTAGACACCACTACTTAGGCCTTATTCTCTGTACTTAAAGAAACGAGTAGATAAACATATGACAAAAGATGCAAATGCTCTCCATTAATCAAAGGTTAAAGTTAGGTATATAATTGTATAAGTTGAAGAAAAGTTTACCTCCATGTTCATACAATGATCAATCTTCAATACATACTAAGGAAAACTAAACTATCGCTTGGCTACTAATTAAGCCAAAGGAAAACTAAGAAAGCTAAGAAGAAACCTTAATCAAGAAAATGAAATGCTTGTTGTTAATTGATTTTCTGATGTCTTTCCTTTGGTTTCTTCACTTCTATTTATAGGTAATTTAGAGCGGTTATTGTTGACTCCAGTAACTGTTGTGCGTTTACTTCTCTTAGCGCCAACTCCCTTTTGAAATCGAATTACCTTCTTTTGCCTCCAAATTGATTCATTCATCTTCTTGGGCCTTGTGGCTGATTCCATCCCATTTCTTCTTAGTCCCATCGTCTGACCAAAGCCCTTAACATAATTCTAATGACCATTTTGCTTAGTCAATGGATCAACGTCAAGAAAAGTCAAAATTTTTAGGCTAAATTAGAAAATAACACCTGCTAAAAACCCCGATTTTGATAATAACACCTGTTGAAAAAAAAGTTTTATTATAACACCTACAAAAATCCCAAAATTTTGGTTTCACCACCCACTAACGGACTTTTGGATGGAAACCGTTAGTGGGGCTCGCCATGTACACGTGTCAATAAGGTATTGGTTTAAAAAAAAGATAAATAAAAAAAAAAGTAAAATTAAAAAAAAAAAAAGAAAAACCCCTAAACCCTAACCCAGCCACCACCGGCGGCCGTCACTCCACCGCCGAAGACCCCCACTGCCGCCGGAAACCCTTCCTTCACTGGCGGAATCACCAGCCATCACCCCTACCGACATTAGCACCCCCGCATATCCCCTTCCCCCTTCCCTCTCCCCGAAAAATCACCCCCACCCACCACAGCCCCCCCACGAAAACCACCTAGCCCCTTCGCCCCCTCGTCGAAAACCACCTAGCCCCTTCGCCGAAAACCACCCTTGGAATTATCCTTCACCTTCAAACCGGCCGAAATCGACCTTAGAAGCCCCAAATCTGTCGATTTCGTGGTGGAGGCGAACGAAATTGGCTGTTTAGGGGAATGCCAGTGTTAGGGGAGGAGGTTTGGGGTTATCGGTGTTAGGGGATGGGGTTTAGGGCGGTGCTGGTGTTAGGGGAGGGGATATCGGGCGATGCCGGCGTTAGGGAAGGGTTGTCGGTGTTAGGGGAGGAGGTTTCTGGGGCTGGCTAGGTGTTAAGAGGGTTCCGGCGGCTGGCTTGGCTGGGGTAGGTGTTGCCGGTGGTGGGGCTGGCTGGGTTAGGGTTTTTTTTTTTTTAAAAAAAATTTCTTTTTTTTAAACCAATACACAACTGACACGTGTACATGGCGGGCCCCACTAATGGTTTCCATCCAAAAGTCCGTTAGTGGGTGGTGAAACCAAAATTTTGGGATTTTTGTAGGTGTTATAATAAAACTTTTTTTTCAACAGGTGTTATTATCAAAATCGGGGTTTTTAATAGGTGTTATTTTCTAATTTGGCCAAATTTTTAATTTTGGGTGTAGCAGTTCTTTAGAGTATTGATTAAAACTTAATTTTATTGAACTAAACTAGGTCTAACCAGTCAAATCCTAGCATAATCAATCTAGTCTCTAGGCCTTAAATTTAGAACTTTCGGTCTTCGATACTACTCACTCTGTTCTTTTTTGTTCTATTCACTTATATTTTGTGTGGTTTCCAACGCATATATTTGACCAAATATATATATTATTACGTACGAGTTATACGCAAGATGTATTAAATTATGTATTAATTATGCACAAGATATTTGGATACTATAGTTTGAAACTATTTTAATAAGATCATAAGTTGTAATTTTTTATTGAATAAGTTGTAATAGACGGTCAATTAAAGTTGTTTGACCTAATATATAGTGAGTAAAATATGTAATAATGAAAGTAGTATTTGATATGGATCTGGACCCATGAATGGTCCTAGTGTAAACCTAATTATTGGACATAGCCCACATAGGTAACCTAATGTACATACATAGGGCTAAAAGGTCAATTTAAAACAAGACCTTTCATGGAACAAGGTCAATATATCAAAATAACAAATCAATAAATAGTCATAATAGAAAGGAAAATTTGAAAATTACCACCTAATATTATAGCCATTTTAAATTAGTAATAACCAGTAATAGTTTTTTTTTTTTAATTTTTTTTATTTTACTGCGAACAATTCTTCAAAACATCAAAATTACCACAACTTTGCCCAACCCCTCTCTTGTGACGTCACGGTGGGCCCCACTCACTACCCCTCTCTTCTATTTCCTTCTCTTCTCATAATTCTCACTCCCCTGTTCTTCCTCTCTTCCCTCTTCTTCCACTTTGTCTAATTTTTGTGCAATAAATGCAATCATTGAGCTATGATTTGTAGGGTTTTACAATGATCTAATCATCATGCGGAAACCAAAACCCGTACTGGACTCATGTATTAATTAATACGATTAACATATAAAACACATAAAAGGGAAGACGATATACGTTTGATGCGTGCTTGACGACGATCACGAGCTAGAACCCCAAGTGTGGCTCCTCTAATGTCGTCCACCCGACATGCCCAACCTTGGTCGTAACGTGTTAGCTTAAGCACGTCCCAACGCGACTTAGAGAATAAGACTCTCGGTTTTCTCACTTTTAGATGGAGATGTCAAGAATCGAATTTT